CTCAGATCACCCTCCCGGTTACTCACTCTTCCCTGAGCTATATATCTCCTTCTGCCTTCACTTCTGTCTCTTTCTCCTTTCTTTCTCTTTACTTTAATCCTTATTTCTGTCTACTTTTACCCCAAGGCCATTGGTAGAAAGAGACCCCTGTTGGCAACAGGAGGAGCCCCTAAGAGCCACCTTGAGCGCCACTCTTCCCCCAGCTCAGGCCGCAGGGGCCCCATGCAGCTCCACCACTCTGCCTTCTCTCCCCAGCTTGAGGTGTCTCAGCTAGAGGGCAGCCTGCAGCAGCCCAAGGCCCAGTCAGCTATGTCTCCCTACCTTGTTCCTGACACCCAGGCCCTCTGCCAACACCTTCCTGTCATCCGCCAGCTGGCCACCAGTGGCCGCTTCATTGTCATCATCCCAAGGACAGGTAAGCATATTGGAAAAGTAGGGGGACAGATAAAGTATGGCTAAAAGAGACTCTGGTCTTGAGATTGAGACACCCTTATTTGGGGCTCACTTTACAGTGACCTTGGTAAAGTCCTGGCACCTCTGTGAACCCCACTTTTTATGTGGAATGGGCATAGCAATCCCTGTTAAGCCCTGTTGCACAGGGAGAAACAGATGAGAAAATCTAAGTGGAAGCTCTTGGTAAACTGCTGCGTACACTGCTGGTAGAAGGTCAGGTTTTCAAAGAAATTCAGGAGCCCTGTAGGGAGTCACAATCAATTATCTTCTTGCAGTGTGTACTAGAGTGAGCTCAGATATTCCTACACAGCCCTGTGTCACAGTCTGAGCTTATCTGTTTTGTCCTTCCACATCCCCACCTTGCCCACCAGTGATCGATGGCTTGGATCTGCTGAAGAAGGAACACCCAGGAGCCCGGGATGGGATCCGGTACCTGGAAGCAGAGTTTAAAAAAGGAAATAGGTGAGTGCAGGCCTGGTTGGCCGGGTGCTGAGCCCTGGGTCCATCTTCTGGATAGCTCATGCACATGAGTTCCTTGCTCCCTATGGGTGAGACAAACACCTTAGTCCCTGCTCATACTTGGCTTACTGCCTGGGGAGGGACACCAAGGAGATAAATTTTTTAAAATTTATTTTGTGGTGGCTGGACAGTAAGGGCATCAGAACCCTTGACCTTGGTGTTATACACTGCGCTGTAACCAACTGAGCTAACTGGACCAAGGAGATGATTAGAGGTCAAGGTCCTAGGTCCTGAAATAGAGGGTGACCAGAGGAGCCAGGAGCCCTGTGGGGAACACTGAGCTGCTGTCCTTTTGTATCTGGGTCAAACATGTGATCAGGACCCACTGGGGAGAAGGGAGCTAAGGGAGCAGGAACACCCCACACACACTCCCCTAATTCCAGGCTGTGAGCTCCTTTGCAGGAAGAATTCCTCCTGCTTTAGGGTTGGGGCAAGTGATCAGGTTTCCCAGGGTGGAAGTGCCTTCATCACGGCTGTCCAGGAGCTTCCTAGCTCCCCCCTGAGCAGAGGCAGTGATGCGACTAGCCAGTCAGGCATGAGCAGATGGCAGCAGGTGCAGTGCTCAGCCCAGTACAGGCCTGCCCTTCTGGCCTTTGGGGCTGGAGGAAGACTATGCAATGGATGCAGGGAATAGGAAGAACACTGCCCCTCTCCCTGCTAGCTGGCCTGCCCCTCCTCTGCATCTGCCCCTGCCTGGCCAGGAAGCTGCACAAAGCCTGCTTGTTTAGATCTTGTCTCCAGAAGCCCTGACTTGAAAAGCATCTGCTGCTTCTCCCCTCCCAGCTCTTACCCTGAGAGGAACCAAAGAATCGATGTTATCAGGAGGAATAGTGAGCTGGCCCCAGCAGCCAGGAAGCCACTTCAAAATGGCTCCAAACAGAGCTGTGATGGGAGAGACATGCCCCCCACCCCCTCCTGCAAAACTGGGCCCCCAGAGCCACAATGGCCTGCTTTGTGTAAGGTGCCCTCCCTATCCTACACCCTCCACTTCCACCCTCACTTCTCCTTTGCAGGTACATTCGCTGCCAGAAAGAGGTGGGAAAGAGCTTTGAGCGGCATAAGCTGAAGAGGCAGGATGCAGATGCCTGGTAAAATGCCAGCTCTCACCCCGGGAAACTCAGTCAGGCTGCCTGCTTTGCTCCTCCCTGAGAGCTCCCTGTTCAGCCTGCCAGGGACCTCCTGCAGGTCTCACCTTGAAGTATGGAGTTGCTTCGGCTCTTGAGCCCTTTCCTCTACAGATAGGATCAGCCCCTTCTGGCCCTGAAATGCTTGGGCTTAGTGTTCTCACTCAGCACACCTTTGCCTACTCCCTGTAGAACATCCAGGGACAGCTTCCAGGTCCCGCTGCTGCTGGCTGCTTGGTTTTTCTTGCCCTCTCCAGAGAGAGCCCTCCCATACCCCAGCATCCCATGTGCACTGGAGATCCTGGTGCTCAGGCTGTGCTAATGCTGGGTCTTGGCCCATCTCTTTCCCCTCCCCTCCAGGACTCTCTACAAGATCCTGGACAGCTGCAAACAGCTGACTCTAGCCCAGGGAGCAGGTGAGGAGGACCCAAGCGGCATGGTGACCATCATCACAGGCCTTCCACTCGACAACCCCAGCACACTTTCAGGCCCCATGCAGGTGGGTCATGGGTGAGGTGGGGAGACAGTGTGAAATAGGAAAGAGGTACCAGAGAGACTCCATCCTCAGACCCTCCATACAGCCATCCTTTGCCTCTTCCATCACCCCTTCTCCAGCCCTCCAACAACTTCTTCCACAGTTTAGGAAGGTTAGGCCTTCCCCTGTCTTTTCTCCACCCATTCCACAGGCAGCCCTGCAGGCCGCTATCCATGCCAGCGTGGACATCAAGAATGTTCTGGACTTCTACAAGCAGTGGAAGGAGATTGGTTGAGACTGACCCTCAGGCCCTGCAGTGGGGCTGACTCCAGATCTCTTCTGCCCTCCCTGGCAGCCAAGACCACCACCTGTAGTCACCCCACCACATGTAGACTCACGCACACAGGAAGGAAGCCCAGCTGTGCAGAGGCTGCAGGGAGGGCCCAGGAACCGTCTGGGAGGGTGGGGTCCCCCTGTTGCCAAGATGATGTCAGGAAAGTGAGGAAAGTGCTTGGAGCAGGAGAGGCCTATGGGCTCCTAGTCAGCCTTCCTGTCTCAGTCCCCCCTGCTGTCCCCAGGGGCAGGTGGCAGGCATAGGTGTCTGCATTTCATTGGAGTGATTCTTGGACCTCTGAGGGGAAGGAACAGCAGAAGAGGCCCTTTTCCTCACCCAGGATGTGGGGTGGTTAGGGCCAGGAGTTTGGACCTTCCAGGCCCTGGGGGAAGAGTTGGGTGATACCAGGTGTCTGGGTGGTTCTCTGCAGACCCTTCCCTTCCTCAGGGACCACCTATCCCCCTTTCATCTCCCTTGGTGGGGGCTGGGCAGCTCTGGAGCCAGCCATGGGGCCTCTTACAGAAGTGGGGCCTGGAGTGGCCTGCGCTGAGTAGTAGGGTCAGGGTTTGTACTCTCCTGCACAGGGGCTGTGCACCCAGTTGCCCCACTTCTGCTTTCTGTCTCCCTCTGTCTAGCTTCCAGAGCAGGGAGCAGGCCCCACCTAGGGCTGCAGACAGTCTGGCCTGCACACCAGTGCAGGTTCCTGTGCCCATCAGCCCCACAGTTGCTGTGCTTTGTGCTCTTGGCTGCTGTGCTGGGAACAGTGGGATGCCAGTAAGAGAAGTGGGGGCGGGTTCAGTCTGAGGCCACCACCCCCCTGACTATCTAGGGAGATTGAAAGATAAGGAGCTGGCATTCAGTGGGCAGCACGAGGGAGAGGCCGCTTGAAGCTGCTCATTCAGGGGCCTTCTGTCCTGGTGGGCTTCCTCTTTTGCTCTTCCCCAGGACTAAAGATGTGGTGGGGCGGAGCGTGGGGCTGGCTTTTGGAGTGTCAAGGTGAATATGTGGGAGCAGAGATCATGAATAGTTCAGGGCAGTGAGTGGCGTACCAAGAGCAGGGCTGTGTGGGGAGGCTTTGGCCAGGATTGCCTCAGCCCCTACGCCTCAGGCTGGAAGTATGGCACAGGCTGGGGGGCCGGGGGTGCAGGATCTCGGTTCTGCCTCCCACCCTACCCCAGTGCTAGCCTAGCTTCCCAAGCTGTTCTTAGAGGACAGCCGGCTTCTTGCCTCCTTTCTCTGAGACAGCAAGTCTGGGAAAACCTGGAGGAAATGGGGTCAACCCCCCATCCCCAGCTCCTGGCAGAGACTAAGACTAAAGCATCACTTAATAAAGATCCCCCAAGCCCACTCTTGTCTCCTGGTGCCTGTCTGTACAGAAGTTTTTTGGATGTGGGACATTGGAGATGACATTTTGGAAAGCCTGCTTTGATGTGGACGGGACAGAATGAGAAGCAGGCAATTTGAGTAAAAGCCCTGAAATGGTTTTGTGATAGACATTGTCAAGTTCATTGACCCTGTGAGCCGAGGCAGTGCCTTCACAAGAGTGATATGTGAAAACAATGTTTTGTCCTTAACAGTGCTGCTTGGGGGATCTTCCTCAAGGGAGTGGAGGTGGGTGACCCTTGAAACCAGCCTCTTGAATCCTCAATGCCTGTTCTGCAAGGATTAGACCTTCAAATTGTGTTTTTGGGGGTGAATAAGCTTGGCAAATCCCTCATGGATGAACCAATACTTAACAAAGGCAGTTTACTCTGAATGCTGTCCTGCACCAGATGCTAAGAGCAAAGCGTGGCGAGAGATGATGGTTTCTGAAATGTCAAAATCGTGATTTGGATTCCTTTGCCCCAGCCTAAGGCAGAACGACCTCAACTCCTGGGAGAACCTGGAACCAGGATTCACCAGTCTGAGGGGGTCGGAATCCACAACTCCATGGCCACATCCTGGCTTGGGCCCCTAGCCTGTTCTAGCCAATCTGAGCATAGTGAGGTTGGGTTAGACTGGAGGGGCTGGCTGCGTGCAGGAGGCCGAGTGAGCTGCCTGCTAATGGGGCTGGGCCACCCCGTGCTGCTCCCTGGAGGCCGGACAAGGCTGGGATTGTTCCCTGGCTCCCCTTTGTCTCATAACTCCCCGCCCTGGTCTGGCCTGCCTTCCCAGCCGCTCTCCCTCCATCAGCCTGGCTGGCTGGCAGGAGCCTGGGACTCCACCCGTGGAGCCCTGGTCCTGCCGACCCACCAGCTTAGGAGCACCTGCCAAGCTCTGGGTAAGGATGCTCACCTTCTGGGGAAATACGTAAGGGGCCTGCTCCAGCCCCACATTTCTGTGGCAGCTGCACACACCCCCACTCTACTCCAGAGATCTCCAAACCCTAAGGGTAGGGACCCGGAGGGAAGGTAGACCCCAGCATCTTCTCACCTCTCCCTTGTCTGCTCCTGGGAGGGGCAAGGGATACCCCGGGAGGCCTTCATCCATCTTAAAGTTCAGCTGGGGTGCAGAGACTAGGGACCAGCTGGCCCCTACGTCCAGCAGGGTCCCCAGCACCCAGCTCAGGGGCAGAGGGACCCCAAGCTGTTAAATTGACAGGAGCAGAAACCTGGAGAAGCAACTGGTGATGCAAGGTCCAGTGTGTATGGCAGACACGGATGGGTGCAGCCAGCGGCAGGAAAAGGGGCAGGACAAGCTGCAGAGTTGCTGGAAACTTGGCCTGGGAAGGGAGCCACTCCTCCTGGGGTGGCTCCACCCACCTTGCTGGCCCAGCCCCTCCACTTGTGCCAGGGAATGTGCTGGGAGAGGCAGCTGAGAGGCGGGCAGGGCAGCAGAGTCGCAGCCAAGCTGCGGCCACCCGGAGACAGCGCACAGGTCTGGGGCTGAGGGGCATTGGGTTCAGGAGGGGCAGGGACCCCAAATGCCTCCCGGGGGCACAAGTGTAGTCCTCAGAGAAGAGCCAGGCATCTGCTTAATTCCTTGCCCCACCAGCTGGTATCCTGCTTCTCCAGGAATTTTCCCCAAGGGCCAAAAGTTTTCTGTGTTCAGCTCAGGCACTGTGAGCCAAAATGCTTTCTGGTGGGGTGGGATGAGGGTGAGGATGCTTGGACTCTCTCTGCTGGCCTCCAGGAGTCAGGGCTGTCCCTGAGACAAAGATTGGGGGCTGGGGGGGCTGGATCCAGGGGCTGGGGTTACTAACTGAAGCAGCCTCCTAGCTGCAGAGGACTCTCCACTCCAGGCTGGGCTGAGTCCTTCTCGATGGAGGGAATGAATGGCCTCAGGCTAAAATGGGTAGGGGTTGGGGCTATGTGATACTGTGACTGGAGAAGCTGGGCCAGCCTCCCCTGGCCTGAAGGAAGCTTGGTGGCCAGCTACCACCCACGCGCATGCGTGTACGCACGCAGCCCGTCCTGGGGCACAGTGACCAGGTCCAGCCTAAACCTGGGTGAAAAGGGGCCTGTGGGTGGGGGCAGACACCTGATCCCCACTCCACCCCACTCTGTCTCTAGGTCAACGTGGAGGTGCTGGGCCACCATGCTCAGTCTCAAGTTGCCCCAACTGCTTCGAGTCCACCAGGTCCCCCGGGTGAGGGGCTTGACCCACCAACCCTCTCCCCAGAGGACTGAGAGGTTCTTTTAGCTATTGGGCAAGTCCCCCCTGCAGGCTAACTCTTATCCCTCCCATTCCAGTGTGAGACTCTTCCACTGTTCTCTGAGGAACAAGCATACGAACCCCTCCCTTAGAGCCCAGAAGGCCCTTCCATCCAGAGTCCCTTCCCCAAAGTGCCCTGTCTGTGCACCACCACCCTACCAACCCCATTGTCTTGTCTTTTTACTCTGGCTCTCTGTTTCTCATCTCTCTGTGGGTATTGGGAACTGTGGTAAGATGGGGGTCAGATTTAGTTTGGCTTTGGGTCCATTGTGATATCCAGCCCATCTTCTTCAACCCTGCCTCCAGAGATCCCTCATGAGGGAAAGGGTCCAGGCACGTGAGTCCCCTCCTCTGTCCCTCCCACCACTACCCCAGGTGTTCTGGGAAGACGGCATCATGTCTGGCTACCGTCGCCCCACCAGCTCGGCCTTGGACTGTGTCCTCAGCTCCTTCCAGATGACCAACGAGACGGTCAACATCTGGACTCACTTCCTGCCCACCTGGTGAGGGGAAGCTCTGCCCCAGGCCGCAGCCTTGAGTTCAGAGGGGTTGCCCAGGCGGGCAGGGACCGTCCGTTCGGCCCCGCGGGCTGCAGCGGCAGTTGCGGGGGTGCGCCGCGGCCTGAGCACATGCCCGCCGCAGGTATTTCGTGTGGCGCCTCCTAGCGCTAGCAGAGGGCCCGGGCTTCCGCGCGGAGCCGTACCACTGGCCGCTGCTTGTCTTCCTGCTGCCCGCCTGCCTCTACCCTTTCGCGTCGTGCTGTGCGCACACCTTCAGCTCCATGTCGCCCCGTGCGCGTCACATCTGCTACTTCCTGGACTATGGCGCCCTGAGCCTCTACAGCCTGGGTAAGCTGGGCTGGCGGCGACAGCGCTGGGCAGGGGTGACCCAGGGTAAGGGCGGGGGCGGTGGTAGGGCGAGGGAGGGTGGAGCGCGTTCCTCTGGCCTCAGCTCCAGCGCCCGCACCTCACTGCAGGCTGCGCCTTCCCCTATGCCGCCTACTCCATGCCGGCCTCCTGGCTGCAGGGCCGCCTACACCAGCTCTTTGTGCCCGCCGCCGCATTCAATTCCTTCCTGTGCACCGGCCTCTCCTGTTACTCACGGTAGGTTCTCAGGCCCCGCCAATGGGGAAGGGGAAGGCGGAGGGGCAAGAGAGGACACGCGTCACTGCTCTTGAACAATATTAGTAACAACAGAACCATTTATTGAAGACTTACTCTGTCTGACCATGTATGCTAGCATGTACCCACGCTGTCTCCTTTAATTCTCACAGCCACCTAAGAGGGAGGTGTCTTTGTCCCCGTTTTACAGATGTGGTCATTTACAGAGGGGGTTATGTCCCCTAAGGGCTTTCTTTGCTGATTTCATCTTGGTCCAAGGTCCCCTTGCCCTTCTCTGAGCCCTACCCCAGCACAGAAATGGTGACCAGCCTTTCCCTCCTGCCTCCCAGGTTCCCCGAGCTAGAAAGCCCTGGGTTCAGTAAGATCCTGCGCACAACAGCCTTCGCTTATCCTTTCCTGTTTGACAACCTACCGCTCTTCTACCGGGTAAGGGTGCCCGGGGCCCCTGCCCAGGCTCCTGCTTTTCTGTCCTGGCCCTCAGGTGCCCACTTCTAGCCCTGCCCTCCAATCCCTACTCTACAGGACCAGCACCCAGCCCACTGGGCTCACTCTGTCCACAGAAACCCCTTGTTTCCACTCCCGAAACCCCTCCCCACCAGCCCTGCTTTTCCTTTGCCAGCTTGGACTGTGCTGGGGTAGGGGCCACAACTGTGGGCAGGAGGCACTGAGCACCAGCCATGGCTACCACCTTTTCTGTGCACTGCTCACTGGCTTCCTGTTCGCTTCCCACCTTCCTGAGCGGCTGGCACCAGGACGCTTTGACTACATCGGTGAGAGCTGGCCCAGGAAGGGGCAAGGGGATAGTTTCCCAGAGCACAGAGAGTAAACTGGGTAAATAGGGTATCACAGCCTGAGGATGGAAGCAAATTATAGGAAGGACTTCCTTGTCTTCCTATCAGGGTCCGGGCCCGTTCTCTACCCCCACTCAGATAACAGCAAAACTAGTAGCATGTATGCATATCAGCTTATTCACTCTTTCCAATAACTTGGGGAGTCAGGATTTTTTATTCCCAATTTATGGGGGAGTAATAGGCCCAGAGGATGGGGTGACTTGCCCTGGGTCACAGGGTGAGTCAGGGCAGCACTGGGAATGGGTATGTGCCCTGACCTGCCCATCCTCCCCACAGGCCACAGCCACCAACTATTCCACATCTGTGCAGTGTTGGGCACCCACTTCCAGCTGGAGGCAGTGCTGGCTGACATGGGATCGCGCCGAGCCTGGCTGGCCACACAGGAACCACCCCTGGGCCTGGCAGGCACGGTGGCCACACTGGGCCTGGCAGTGGCTGGGAACCTGCTCATCATTGCCACCTTCACTGCCTCCCTGCTTCGGGCCCCTGGTACATGCCCCCTGCTGCAGGGTGACCCACCGGAAGGGAGTACCCAGGCCAAACAACAATGAAGCCCCGTCCCTGACCCTACCCTGGAGTGAGGCAGAGGCCAGGCCCTAGGGCTGGAGAGGAGCCCAGACCTGGGTCTGATAAGGTGGGGGCACATCTGAGCCTGGAACCATGAGTGACTGAGAAGAGAGGGTAGAGAAGAGAGTGCAGAGGAAGGGTGGTTGGGGGGACTGGCAGAGAGTGAGAAGGACCGTGAGGGGGCTCTTAATGGGAGTGGGGTAAGTGCTGAGGGTCTGAGAGGACAGATATGTGTGTGTCCAGGCTGCAGCTGCCCACATGCCCTGTCAAAGTCTGGGGTGGGGAGGTGTCGGAACCCTTTCATCTGGCCCCATTTCTGGTGCTCCTGAAAGTCTCTGCTCAGCCCAGGGAAGAACTAACACAACTAACCTAGGCCTACCCTGAATGCCTGTTAACCAGGCCAGGAGGCCACACACTTGCCCCCATATCTGCAAACCAGGCAGCACTGTTTGCCAGCAGCTATTTGCCTGTAGAGATGAATCTGTCTGTCCTGGTCACATCTGTGTATGCAAGGTGTCCAGGCCTTTGGGGGCTGGGTCTATCTGGGTGTGTCATGGATGGTACAGTGGATGAGATGGGGTAGAGGGGATGTTGGGCTAGAGGAGGAAACCCTAGTTAGACTTTAGAAAGCCAGCTTCAATGCTTTTTAGAACAAGGCAGGCACAAATAAACACTAGACTTTGGGAAGCACTTTCTGGGACTGAAGAAGGTAATACCCCCCTCCCACACTCTACAGACTGGACAAACTCATAGACCCACCAATTCCTCTTGAGTTTATTTTGGAGCAGCTGGAGTGATGGGGACCCCACACTCACAGGGCAGGGAGGTCAGGGTGAGAGGAGGGGAAGGGGTCCTGGAGAGGAGCCAGAGCTGTGGTTGCCAGCCGGGCCAGCGGGAAGATGCCCTAGATGGTGCCGTAGAAGCGCCGATAGGCCTCCTGGAAGCCGATGTGGTCAGCCAGCTCATCACAGTCTGGGTTGAGCTCACACACCTCCCTCTTGGGCTCCAGGGGATCTGGGTAGGGGGCTGGGGCTCTGAGAAGCCCAACACAATGGCGTCAGCCCCCATTCAAAATGCCCACCTCCTCTTCCCACTGCACATGAGTTCCCACCTGTACACTCTCCACCCCCACACCCCACACAGCAGCCCATAGAGGGCATTCCCTGCTGCGACCCATCCCCAGCTCATCGTGGACATGGCAGGGCCCTGGCCCAGCACCTCCTTTTCTCTGACCTCAGCCAGTAATCCAGGTAGCGTCTGGGTCTCTTCACCACCTCACTGCCCTCCCGCTTGGACACGAAAGCTGTGGAGCAGAGGGGCAGGCATCAGGTGGCTCTGGGTTTGGGAGAATAGGGTGGGAAGCACGCTGGCCTTGCTGACAGCCAGACAGAAGGTGGCAGGAGTAGAGGAAGGGACTGAGGGCACCAGGGTGAGAGGCATAGGGCTGGGAGCCCTCTACCCAGCCCAGCCTCATATACCTGCATCTTTGCCAGACTTTGCACCACGGGGCTTCGCATCTGCAAAGGAAAGGGAGCCTAGGTCACTCCTGCTCATCCCTAGGGCCCTTGTCCTCCTTCCCCTGCCTCTCTGGCAGCTTGTTCTTTCCTCCTTTCTCACCACAGGGACAGCTGGGGCAAATGGATACCCTGCAGGAGGGTGGTTAGACTGCAGAAGGGACTGCCAGTGGAAGGGGTGAAGGGAGGTGGGGCCATGGTGCTTCCCCCTTGCAGCCCCCACTGGAGTGTGGCCTGGGTGAAGGTCGGGGCACTCACCTGCCTGGCCAGTGAGGCAGAGTATGGCCAGGGCCAGCAGGGTGAGGAGTGTGATGGTCCTCATGGTGTGTCTGTCAGCGGCTGCCTTCGTTAGGGCTGCAGCTTTGGACTCAGCTGGTCTGCCCATTTCAGCCTCCAGCACTGTTTATACCCTCTGGGCTGGGCCACGAAGGCGAGGGGTTGTGCCTGACCAGGGTGCAGGCAGGTCATCGGGGAACCTGCCAGGGCTATTTAGGGGTCATCCACCCCAGCCTTGTAGGCCAAACCCCAAAGGATGTTGTGGTTAGGAAACAGTTCCTGCTGCCTGGGCAGAGGCCCCTGGAAGTGATGGAGGAGGGTGGGCCACAATCTGAGACTGCCGGGCTCTCGACATTGTTCCGGACCCTTCCCCATGGAGTTGCCCCAGGTCCCCCAACCCCTACACACTCTTCCTCAGCGACCCCCAGCCTCAGTTTGAGCACTGGCTGGGCTCCCCCTAGAGAGGAAAGGGAGCTTAGAGATCTAAAATAGGTTCAAGCAGAACTGGGATCCAGCTCTCTCATAGCCTGTGATTTCCACCATCGGCCCCATGGGCAGGAGCCAAAACCCAGGGAGGGAGTGCCTGGCAATGTCCTCATTCATCCTAAAGGCTAAAGGCAGGCTGGGGTGTGGGCAGCTCAACTCTGCTCAAGCCCTATTCATCAGGACAGTAGAAATGGTCAGGGCAGCACAGGACCAAGAGCCAGAAGCCAACAGTGGGCAAGCATGAGAAAAGAACAGCCTCTCCATCTTCCGGGCAGGCCAGGTGGTACGAGTCCAAGGTATGCAGGGACACAGGACAGGGAGGTGGGGCACTGCAGTGGGGACCCCCTTCCCTGGACTTCTAGCAGGTAGGAGGTAGGACCTGCAAGGAACAGGGAGATGGAGTGCACCTCTGGGCTCCCGACCCTCCAATTCTCCTCCTACCCTTGCAGCCTCCCCAGTGTTAACAACCTTGGGGAGGGACCTGCCCTCCCGAAACCCTCCCATAAGTGATAGGAAGGCTTGTCCTCTCTGGCACAGAACATCCCAACCTGAAAAACTCCATCCCACACCTGAGAGCCACCACTGCCTCAGGTCAGCCTGGAGAGGGGAGAGAGGGGGTCCTGACACCTTCCTCCATGTCTGACTTGTGTCCTCACTCACCCACCCAACCACGAGGGCTTCAGACTGTCTGCCCAACTTGACAAATAAACAAAGCACTCAGCGGGGTGGGCTGGACCAGGTGGCAGGGGGAGGAGAGCATCTGGATGCTTGAATGCTGCAGCTCCACGGTGGAGGTGTGGGCAGAGAGAGAGATGGAGCCTGGGTGCGGTTCATGGGGAGGAAAGTAGTGAGCAGGGGCCACTCTGACGTCTTCCTATCTGTCCCCAGTGCTCCTCAGACAGACCCAACCAAGCCGCTCTCCAAGGGAAAATGGTTTTGCCCCCCACCGGACCCATCATCCTCCCTGTTCTGGTCCGGGAAACACCCATCCTGCCTTTGGCTGGCTCTGACAAGGGAAGAGTGAGGCGGGAGAAGCAAGGGAACAAAGCTATTCCGGAGGGCCCACCTTGCTCTATGCACCCCCACCATGCCCAGACATCACACGAAGCCCACCACAGACGCTTTCTCAGAATTAACCCAAACAGCAAAGAGAAGGGTAGGTTGGGTTAGACAGAGTGACACCCCCTTGGCAGCTTGTCCTGGCCTAAGGGAACCAGGAGTCCCAATTTCTGTGACAAAGGGGTCTGCTGCCCTCTTCACATTATGGTCAAATATACCCCCACCTAACTCCCCCGCCCCCACCGCCAAGCCTGGAGACTCTCAGAGGACACGACTGAGGCCTAGACTGGAGCCAGAACTTGGGAGCCCAGGAGCAGGTCTTGGCCCAAGAATGACCCAGGCAGAGGAAGCATCCTCACAGATTACAGTGTAGTGGAGGAAGTTTATTTATGGATGTGGGGAGAACATGGTGAGGGCCCTTGGCTGGCCAGCAAGGGGGCAATCAGTGGAGATTAAAAACAGATTCCCCAAGCCAGGTTCTAGAGAGGGCTCAGAAACAGCAGGCGGGGGGATTGGGTGGTGTTGGCCTGAGCCTAGAGAGAAAACACGGTACCTGATTCCCAGAGTGGGAGCTGGCCACGAATCCTCCAGTTAGAAGAAAACAGGGAGGAATCTGAAGGTAGTGTATGTGGTGACCAACCCCAAGGGAGCCCCAAAGACACAGTGGCGGGGCAGTGGGGCTTGATCTGGCCTGGTTCTCCAGCGACTTCCATCACTGCTTAGGGACTGGGCACCATTTCAGCTGTTCTCAGGGGCAGCTCACCCAGGCCCAGCATGCTGGACCATGGGCCCTCCACCTCAACTGCCCTCTGCTTCTGGTCCTGGCCACTTCCTCTTCATTCAGGCTCCCTCAGCACAGCCATCAGCTCCCTCTGTTCTCTGTGTAGAGCCTACAATCAATGCAAGAGAACACACAAATTGGGGTATGAGAAAACCCAAGTCTTTTCCCTTTGCAGTCCCTGAGTCCAGGCCTGGGTTTCCCTTAGGACAATATGGATAGGGTCCGTGGCTCATGTTACTGGCTGAGCAGGGCATGGTAGGACGCAGGCACATTAGGAAGTCCCCACCATAGGTGCTGTTGCCACCTAGGCTGGGCCTACACAGAACACAGCCCATCTTCAACAAGGGTGCCTACTGTGGCCTCCAATCCTCCGACCTCACCAGGGCTTTCTAACAAAGAAAATTTCCTGAATTAAGTGAACTTTCAGTTGGGCTACAGACATGGAAATTGTGGTGAAAAATAGCTCTTTGAAGCTCCTACACAAGGCTCAGCGCTGAACCCTCAATCCAGTTGCCCCACTTCAAACAAAGTTGAGATTTGTGGCTGGAATGGATGAGGTGTGGCTATAAGATGAGAGCATTTTGTTTCCCCTCTTAAAACCCAAGCACTGAAGTCAGAGCTGGCAGGGCCCTGAGGATCGTCATTTGGCCAATTTGGAAGCCAGGGCCTAGAGAGGGGAGTGACCCAGGTATCCTGGTGGATTGGCAATGCCGGAATGGCATCTTGCTTGACTCAGCAGGGTGGCCTTGAGAGGGCCCGAGACACAGCTCTGAGCTGTAGAACCTAACCCCACAAGATGGCACCAGGCTGAGGCCCTCGGTCACTACCACCTTTGTGCCTGCTACTGAGAACCCCAGGACCAGTCTATGACATGGGGAGACTGGAGGGGGTTGGAACAAGAGGGAACAGAGTAGGCTGCTAGCCTAGGACATCTGAATGATGAATGGAGAGAACCCAACAGTAGTGCCACCACTCGAGCACTACTAGAAACCTCTTGGAACTATATTTCGAGCCAATAAGAAAATCCACCTCATCCTCTGTAGCCACTTCTGCTAACCTGTGTCATCCAGGCTGATCACCTCTTCCCTCTTATTTACTCAACTTGGCCCCAAGTGACTTTAGGCCACTTTCAAAAATTAAGTTTAGGGCCGGCCCGTGGCTCACTCGGGAGAGTGTGGTGCTGATAACACCAAGGCCACGGGTTCAGATCCCATATAGGGATGGCCAGTTAGCTCACTGGCTGAGCGTGGTGATGACAACACCAAGTCAAGGGTTAAGATCCCCTTACCAGTCATCTTTTAGAAAAAAAAAAAATTAAGTTTACCCTCTGCTGTGGATTGTATGTCCCCACTGTGACAATGTTAAGAGGGTGGGAAATCCTATTGTGGTAGTTGAACAGTGGGGCCTCGAAGAGGTGATTGGATTGTGAGGACTACCCTCATGAATTGATTGATCCTTTCATGGAATAACGGGAGTAGCGAGTGGTTCTGGTGGCTTTAAGAGAAGAGTAAGGACCGGCCCGTGGCTCACTTGGGAGTGTGGTGCTGATAACACCAAGTCAAGGGTTAAGATCCCCTTACCGCCATCTTTTAAAAAGAAAAGAAAAAATAAAATAAATAAGAGGAGAGTAAATGAGGAGGTTATTCTTGCTTGCTTCCACTATCCGCCATGTGAAACCCTGAGTCACTGTAGAGTTACCAACAAGAAAAGGCCCACACCAGATGTGTTCCCTGGACTTTGCACTTCCCAACCTCTGAAACTGTAATCAATAAATATTATTTCTTTATAAATTACCCATTTTCAGGTATTTCTGTTATAAGCAACAGAAACGGACTAATACACCATCAAAGGACACGTATTTGTTGCATGGAGGATAGGTTTTAGATATGTTAAAGGCTCTAGAAGTCATTCTAATGTACACATTTTTTTTTTTTTTTCAAAAGATGACCGGTAAGGGGATCTTAACCCTTGACTTGGTGTTGTCAGCACCACGCTCAACCAGTGAGCGAACCAGCCATCCCTATGTGGGATCCGAACCCAGGGCCTTGGTGTTATCAGCACCGCACTCTACCGAGTGAGCCACGGGCCGGCCCCTAATGTACACATTTTAAAGATATTGGGCAATGGTCATATGGAGTATCAAAACGACTACTGGATACAGAGGGTTTAACTCTGACCCTGACATGAGGAACTGTTACCTTGGGCCTGTTTCTTCATCTGCTGCAGTTGGGGAACACAGGCCTGTGGCTGGACTTCAACAAGAGCAGGCTGGTCCCAGAGTGAGGAGAGGATTTGGGGGACCCTTTCTGGGGAGGCCAGCGAAGAGACTACTGCATACATCCAAGGATAGGTAAGAAGTGGCTACTATAGTGAGCAGACTCTCCTACTCCCTATGGGAATCCCTCATGTTGGAATAGAGGAAGCCACCAATTTGGGGATCTCGGAAGGCCTATTAGAGAAGGAAGTAAAGCGAGCAGGGTCAGGATACTTACCTGCCAGGCCTGCTGTTGGGCCTGGACCTGCAGCTGAAGCTTCTCTACCTGCCTGCGTCCGGCCAGGACAGCATCAGCCAGCTGCCGGTTTTCAGCCTCCTGTTTCTGCACACGGTGCTGCAGGGTGTCCCGTTGCTGTAGGAAGTAGGGTGCCATGGCCCTGCAAAGGTCTTCCTCTGGGATCCCACTAGGGCGCCTAGAAGGCCACATGGGGCATAGGGGACAGGGAAGGGGAGGACATGTGGGGAGAAGGTTCTACTTCTAGGACCAATGAGTGATGTTCCCAAGTTGGGGTGGCTTCCAAGGCTTCTCCTGTGGTCCCTCTCACCTCCCAACACCTGGTCCTGATGGGAACGCTCACCCTTATCTCTCATCTTCAATGCTTAGGGGTCCACCTCCCCTTCTCACTCAACTCCTACCTTAGCCTTCCCAACCATGCCCCACATTCTTCTTCTCTCTTCCACATACACTCCCCATCTCTAACACTCCAGGGCTAGAGGTGACTTTTCAGCCCATGCCTCTGTCCTTGTGACCATGTGCCCTGTTGCTGCATCCCCCATCAGATTGTGAGCTGGAAAGACTGGGAGGGCAGCAGGATGAGCCTTCCCAAATGAGGTGGCTCCTGAGAAAGGGTCCAGACCCTGGAAGGCCAATGTTAAGTGTTGGCTGATGTGGGAAGATAATGAAAGACAGGTTGAAGAGACAAGATTATGCTGGGGGTGGGAGTCGCTGTAGATTCTTTTAAAAATTATTTTTCAGTTGTAAAACAATTCTCTTAAGTACTAAGGTCACAAAGCATAAAAAAATTAGAAAGTAAAAAAAAGGCATCTACTCCCTCAGACCTAGGAGCCTACTGGAGGGGAGGGTTGCCGGAGGCAGGAGCGCAGGCCACTGCTCTCCACTCCCTGCCCCAGGCCCCACTTCTCCATCCTGCATGAGACACCAGGCAGCCAGGCTGCCCATGGAAATGTCAGCTCCAGGACAGCAGGTACTTTGTCTGCCTTGTTCATTGCTGACTCTGGCATCTAAAACAGTATTGAGCAGATAGCAGATGCTCCCTAAATACTTGCTGAATGAACAAATGAAGAAAAACCAGATTCCTGGCCAGCCTAACCTACACATGATTCCAAACCTCACTATTCTGTCTCCTCCCACACCCCTACCCTTCCCTTTCTCCCACAGGCCCAACAGGCCCTGAAATGAACTCCCCGAGGAAGGCTTTCTCAGTGTGGCCTCAAACCACTTCCCTCCCAAAACCGCTGGGCAACATGCACTTGCCTGGGGGCTCTCCTCCGCACCAGGGAACTCTGCATTTCAACTATTTTGGGTTATACTTGTTCCTGTCAAAGCATCCTTTCTCAGAGGCCATGAGCCCAGAGTCTAAGAATATGGGTTAGTCTTAAAGCCTCCTAAAAGATGCTGAAATGCTGCCTCTTTCTGCCCTGTCCTTCTTACCTCCCTGTCCCCATTCTCACCAGGCTGGTTCCTTGCGGTCTTTGCCTTCTTCCACAATTTTATCCAAGGTATTCAAGACAGCTTCTAGGTTCCCCTCCTCTTTGATTTCGGAGATTTCTTCCTGAAGAGAAAGGAGGGAAGAGCTGTAATGGTACTAGACAAGCCCATCATGGAAATATGCTAAATTGCTAACAGCACTTAGTAAGATTTGGGACAATTTCTGTTCTGTATCTTTACATTTTCCCAAACATTCCAACTTTCCCACAACAGGTGACTTTTATAATTAAGTAGTAAAAAATAAAATGGGAAGCACTGAAAGAGAACTTTCAGCTGGCCCCTCTCTCTGCCCGCCATCTCTGGATACTGCAGCCCTCACTGTTATCCCCACTCCCACAGCACCCCCTTGGCTGAGCCACACATTTCGATGCTTAACAGGACCATTCTGGAGTGTAACCCAGGAAGTTAACTCTCTAGAGACATCACAGTTACTGAAAGACACGAGTTGAATCATGTCCTTTTTTGTACTCCCACTAGTACTCAGTTCCACTGAATTAAAACCATTTATTAAATGCCTCCTCTGTGCCAGGCATCATACCAGGAGCTGTAGGCACAAAGATGAGAAAGACCCCCATCCTGCCCTCGCTGAGCTTCCACAATCTACTGGGGCAGACAATATACAAACACATAATTACAATACAGAACAATGAGAGAAGGGGCATTTAAGATAGCGACGGCATTTGGAGGGGAGGAATGACTGATGCTACAGCCTTCTGGGCATGAAGGACATCTAGGGGCTGAGGAGACCAAGGGATGAAGGGTGGGGACCTTGCCCTCAGGGGACTGACAGCCTGGAGACAACCCAAGCCAACGGTACCGGCTGGACTTCTTGCCACTCACCCAAATGGATGTCTGCAACTGAGTTATAAACTTGTCATAGATTCGCTGCGTCATCTCCGGCTGCAGCTGGTAGAAGCGCTTGTAACAGTCAGTAAATCTCTGATAGCTGGCAGGAAGGAGAGAAGGCAGAGGTGGGGAGGTTCAAGCACACAGCCAGTTGTCAGTCTGCCTGGGCACCTCTGCTTCTCATTGCAGGACTCTAAGCTTTGTCCACTTCATGGCCCCGGTTAAAGGAGGTGGATGCAAATCTTTCATCTGCAGCTCGAGTCACTGAGGATGACTCAACCCCACCAGTGCCCCATCACTCTCCCCACTTCTTCCCAGCAGAGCCATGGTTGAATTCAGGCGTTTACCCCTTAAAGATGGGTCATGATCAGTCCAGCCATGGTTCTTAAAATCACCAGGAGGGTAAAAAAAAAAAAAAAAAAAAATCACCAGGACAGTGCTCTGTTAAAACACAGATCACTGCTCTGCCCCTCCCCCCAAGTTTCTAACAAGCTCCCAGGTGAGGCTGATGCTGCAGGTCTGGGGACCATACTTTGAGAAGCTCTGGTCATTCCAGTCCCCTTGCAGGGGATGGGGAAATCTTTCGTCTGGGAAAGACTGCCTTTCTCCTAAAAAGAGCCACATAGGAAGCAACTGATGCCCTTTCTGCAGGACATTACTGTATCCAAGTGATGTCTCCAGCTATTGGCAGCTAGGGGGCCCTGGCCTGAGGACTTAAACCAACCTGTAGCCACCCAACCTTGGGGCTTCTTGTTACATGAGGTAATGGATTTCTCTTACTGTTCAAGCCTGATTTTAAATCAGGTCTCTGTCTCTGTCACGAGCAGCTAAGAGATCCTCACTGATATATCCTTTGTAGCCAGAAGGATCAAAAGATACCCATTATGTTCCCAATGGCTCATTCCTCTAGGATGAAGAAACTCAAACAAGAGAAATGAACTGTCTTGGCTGTTACCTCTCCCTCCCCCTTGTTTTCTTGCCTGTCTCTCTGTCCACTTTCTCAGGCCCTTCCCCTTTGAAAAATATTCACTGAGTGCCTGTTACATGCTGGTTGCCCACCAAGTACTGGATATTCAGGGGTGAATGATACTGATATAGCCTACCTGGAACTTCCAGTAGAGAGGGAGACATGACAGCAAACACAACTCACATGAATATAGTGATCACCACTGCAGAAAGTGGTTTGAAGAAAAAGGGTCACAGTTATGGGGCTGAGAGAGTGTATCATAAGGATCATCTTTAAGTTGGGGGGCACAGTTCTCTATGATGAAGCAATGTTCAAGGGACCTGCCAGAAGTGTCTGAGCTAAGGAAGAGTCCTTGAACACACAAGAGCTCACATTTATGCTATACCACGGGTCAGGTTGTTACTTGGCTGTGTGTATCAGACTGGTGGGCCACTGGATAAACAGGGCATTAGGTAACGGGAACCCAATGCCTAGCCCCATCCCCAGCTAGGGACTCATTGCTAGGTCCTCCCTTTCTCTTGGCTCTCTTTGCCTTCCCACCCAACCCCCACCCCTACACAACATCGTCTCTGGAAACAGGTGAAGAGTAAGAGCAGTGGTGTGCTAGAGCAAGCTCATAGCAGCTTACAAGAGACGACTGCTAGGGCTGGCCAGTTAGCTTAATTGGTTAGAGAGTGGTAACACCAAGGTCAAGGGCTCAGATCCCTGTAGCAGCCAGCCACAAAAAAAAAATTTTTTAAGTCAGTTGCACCCCCCCACAACATGGCACACTTCCAGCACCAAGGAGCATGCCAAAATCATCACCTCCATGAGGGTGGCCCACCACAGCCACCACAGTAACCATGGCTCCCACAAAAGTGGCTAGATGTCACAACCACCACGCAGATGGTCCACCAGCCACTGGAGTGCATTTACACAAAGAGAATCACCATCAGAGTCCAAAGAAAAGAAGAGGGTATCCTCTCCACAAAGCCTATTCCAGAGTGACAGAAGAAGCATCTGCTCTATGATAATACTGGGGGACCTGAACACACCTCTCAGCATTGGACAGATCATCTAGGCAACAAATCAACAGAGTAACCATTACTCTTTCAGAGGGAGAGAAGAAATCTAGGATTATCAGAGGGGGGAGGGGGAGGGATAGGGGGATAGGGAGAGACTGGACAAGGGGCATAAAGAATAAGTACGATTTGTAACAATATATATGCTCGTAATATTGATTTGATCAACATATGTCAACATTGAACCCCCGAAATTTGTATAATCAATTATGACTCAATAAAAATTAAAAAAAAAAAAAAAAAGAAAGAAAAAGTCAATTGCTAAATTCTCAGGAACTCTGTGAGCTAGTTGTACACGGCCATTATTAAAAGATAAATTATATAAACTCACAATAAACTGTATTAAAAAGCAAAAGTACGGGCCGGCCCCGTGGCTCACTCGGGAGAGTGCGGTGCTGACAACACCAAGGCCACGGGTTCAGATCCTATATAGGGATGGCCGGTTAGCTCACTGGGTGAGCGTGGTGCTGACAACACCAAGTCAAGGGTTAAGATCCCCTTACCGGTCATCTTTTAAAAAAAAAAAAGCGAAAGTACTAAGTACTCCAAACATATCACTTCCTAATCATTCTACCACATTTTACTCTCTCTTAAGGCTACTTATATCTATTGTCTCTGTCTGGTGGAAATACTATATAAAGGTGTACTGCTGCCCACCTCTTCTCAACTACATATTTAGTAACACCATGTTGGTGGCTTAGAAATATTTAAAACTGGGAAATCAGGGCTGGCCCGTGGCTCACTCGGTAGAGTGCGGTGCTGATAACACCAAGGCCACGGGTTCGGATCCCGTATACAGATGGCCGGTTCGCTCACTGGCTGAGCGTGGTGCTGACAACACCAAGCCAAGGGTTGAGATCCCCTTACCGGTCATCTTTAAAAAAAAAAAAA